GGGAGGGAGGTCGGGGGTAGGATGCAGTCCAAGCTCCACCCCCTCTCTCAGTCCCTACAGGCTGCAGTGATCACAGGGAAGGGACTGTTCTGGGCAAAGGGGTTCCCAGCAGGCCCTCTCCAAGGGGCCAGGAGTGGGCCTGGTGGCCCGAAGCAGCCACTGGCCCTCAGCTGGCTGGTCAAGAACTGGAGTTGTCAGATTATCCAGCAGGTCCCTAGGGGGCCAGTCTGGGTGACACTGCATCCATGTGGGCTCCAGGCCTGCCCTGCTGAGACCCTCTTATCTTCCCTTGGCGCTCCCTCTCCACCCACTGGCAAGATGCCTGAAGAAAGCAGACCCCAGAAGTGCCCACTGGGCTGTGCAGAGGGGTGATGGGGGGCCGTGGCCTCCCACCAGTCATGCCGGGCCGTGGGAGCCTTCTCCGAGCCCCAAGGCTCACCTGGGCACCAGACAGGTATCCCCACCCCACACTCGGGTGAGGCCAGCAGAGAGACCATCCAATCACCTAGGATGCCCCAGGATTCTAAGGCAGCTGGTCTAGACCAAATGTGGCTGGATTCTCAGCCAGATGGAGGTGGAGTGAGGCCAGAGCACCCCAGATGCTACTACCTACCAGGCTGCTCCAAGGAGGGTGGGGTACAGGGGCTCCAGGTACCTGCATAAGTGCCAGGCTCCATGCTGGGCATTCTGGCTCCCTGAAGCTCCCTGAACCCCCACCAGGGAGGCAGGTTGCCTATTTTCCAGGTTGGAAGACTGAGGCTTGGGATAAGTCACGTGTCCCAGGTGACACCGTCAGGGGATTTGCAACATAGCTCCCAGGTCTGATCTTAGGAGCCAGGGCCACTCCTTGACTGTGTCCACCTATGGACCAGGCGACAAGGCGCCAGTCCAGAAGATGTGTGGCTCCTCCATCCCCTCCCCGCTGGGCGTGGGTCTCTGTTTGGGAGGGTCGAAAGCTCCTGGAGGCCGCTGCACTTGTTAATTCTTAAGCTTTTCCCTTATTATCCCTTGTGGCCTCTGCAGGGGGAGGGGGGCGGCGAGTGGAAGGGGAGGGAAAAGGAGGGGCTGCTCCTTCCTGCCTTGCCCCCTCCCCTCCCCAGCGTCCCGGCAGCCTGGGAAAAGGCAGCATATTGGGCGGAGGTCTCAGCATCAGGCCCGGGATGCTAATGAGGGAGAGCGTGTTCCCACAGCCCGGACATTGTGCCGCGCGGCCCACCTGCTCCTCAGGGAGCGCCCATTGTGCCCGCGCCAATTCACAGGCAATTTAGCGTGCGCTAATGGGCCGGCGCCTTTGTGCGGCCCGCGCCGCCATTGGCCGCCGAGCGTGGGAACGGCC